TGCAATCCGCCCCTAGAGGAGGGAGCTAGGGGAGCGCGGGCTGGCTGCTCTGTCTGAAGGTCGCCGGGAACCGCCGCCCTTCACGTTCCTCGGAAATCAGCCATACCCCGCCAAGGCTCCCCGCCCAGCGCTCGCAGACAGAGGCCACGTTCTCCCGGCCGCGGCAGCTAGACCTTGACACAAAGGACATCACACCGCCGGGGATAAGATCCGGAAGGGAGGACACCTTGACTTCTCACCCTGTGACACTTTTCCCTTTATTGCCCAAGGTAGGGTGACTTTCCCGGCTCGAGAGAGCCAAGGGCGCGGCAGCGGGAGGAAAGGGATGTTGGCGATGTGCGGGGAGGAGGCGGTGACACAGAAGCCCTCCGTGCGGGCCTGGAAGGAAGGGGTGCGCGGCTGTGCCGGATGCATTTGGTTTTTGCTTTGGGGAAAGGGAAAGTCCAGGTCTCCTGTTGTTCCCAATGCACGTGGCAGCGTGAGGAGGCTCAGAGAGTCTTGATTTCACCTCCCCGCGGCGGTGGCTTACTTTTTGGTTCCGTTTTCATGGTGGGAGCGAGTGGCGCCCGACCTGGTTAAGTGGCACGAGGGTCAGGGACCTCGCAGGGCTGTCGGGAGAGCGCAGCCGATGCGAGGGCGCGACTGCATACCCGAGGAGTGTTTGCATCCTGGGCATTGGGGCAATTTCCTGTGTCCGTAGGGCCCAGAGGAGAGTGTGTGATGCCCCGAGGGTGTGCGGCCGGCCGGCTGGGTTTCCAGGACTGGCCTCGGAGCGCGAGTAAACCGGATCACATTTGCCGCCCCTTGCTCTAGCTCTGCCCATCTCAGTAACAGAGAGGAGGAGGAGGATGCCGGGGGAAGTTACTAAAGGATGCTAGCAGTGGTCACTGTCCTTTCCCGCCCTGAAGAGGTTCTTTCCAAAATCGAGGAGGGAGGAGGAGGAGGAAAGTGCTGGTCTGGGGACCAGGGTCGCTGGAGCTGGCGAACAAAAGGCCACCGCTTGCGCGTGGCCTGGGTTCGGACTGTCTCGCTTCCACTCCACCTCCTCGCCCCACCCCTAAACATGTTGCCACCAAAGGCCTTTAAACTGGCCGCGGTGCTGGGAGGAAAGCGCTCCACAGCCCTAGTGTGCGTCCCGCCCCCCCACCCCTCCGTATCCTCCTACCAGAGCGTCGGGCTCCTCTGTACCCACTGGGACCCCCACACCATCCGGGGCTGCCTGGGCGCTGCTCCCCTGCGGAATCTCCCGCCCTTGGATTTGGGCAGAACGGTAGTCAGAGAAGGTGCAAGTGCATATGGCGGCAAAAGGAATTTCGCGGTAACAGCGTTCCGGTGCCTTTTACAGGCTGCCTTGAGCTGGGGAGGGTGGTGCTACCATTGAAAGCCCTTTGTGTCTCGCTCTGCGGCGCAGACCCAGTTTTTATCGCACCTATGGATTTGACATCTCTGCGGTGGGTTAAAAAATTTTTTTTTCTTTTAGTATAAGAGGGAGGAGAGACTAAATCTACGGTTTGCAGACTGCAGGGCCCAGCAAGGCTGTAATTTGTCACCTTGATGGAAGAAATTGTGCAGTAACTCGTGCTTGTTCTGACGTCAGAGAGACAACGGAAAGAAAACCTGAGCTAGGTGGCTGCCTGCCCTCATTGTTACTAAACATCTCACGCAGGGTTGGGACCCTTGAAATCAATGTGAAACGGTCGGTCCCGGCACTAATCCCTGTGGGCCCCCTGGATTTTGGTTCACCCCCAACCTCAAATGGTTTTGATCTTCAGTCTCTTCAGTTCACAGTCTGTCCCTTAGGCATCGGGAAACCCACCTAGTTTGGTTGGAGGTCTTAACCTTGATGAGGGTTTATTCCCTTTAAAAAAGCACCCCACATATTCAATAAATACTTGGGGGTCGGGGAGGGGCTTATTTTGTGGCTGGCAGCAACTAACAAGACAGTTCCTGTGAGGCTTCTATTCTGGGGGCAGGGAGGAGACAGGCAATATATGCATGTATAAACGGCTTTCAGATATTTGTAAGTGCACTGCACTGGAGAAGCAAAGCAGGGTCATGTGGTGGGGGAGGGTGCTTGTGGTAGACGACCCTCTAGGAGTGCCGGTGTGAGAGGGTGACATTTGTCCTGAGACTCAGAGGCCAGGCGTCTCTGTCTATTGCCAGTCCTGTCTTTTCCTCACTCTGGATGGTACCTGAGGCCAAAACCAATCTACTCATCATTGTTCCTCTAATGTCCAGCAGAGTAGCTGCTTAATAAAATGCCCGTTGGATTGAGATCTTGGCCAATCTTCGTCTCATTCACCTCTTTATGCTAGTGTTGACCCCCCCCTTCTTTTCTACATCTCATTATTTTTTCTCCTTCTTCTAGGTTGAAACCTTAGTCTTTTTCTAGTCTGCTTCTGGCGTTCTCTCTTACCCTCTCCGCACTTCTGAGCAGCTGCCAGGCCCTTGCAGATGCCCCTCAAACCTGTTTTCTCATCCCCAGTCCCAATGTCCAAGTTCAAGTCCTCTGTCACCTGACCTAGACTTGGCGATTCAAGTAGGGTGTTGGGATACAAGAATCATGAAACAGACATGGAGGTGCCCTGAAGAAACCAGGAAATCCTTCCTCGGGGGAGGAAGATGCAAGCACAACACGTGGTTAAAAAGTAAAGTGGCTAATTGATGAGATATAACAGCTTTCTAGCTGGTCTTCTCCATGTCAAGCTCCCTTAATTCAATCTCGACACTTCCATGAGATCTGTATTTCTAAAACAATTTGCATTTTTTACAGGTAACTTTTAAAAATGTATATATATATATAAAATTTGATTTCAGAGAGGAAGGAAGAGATAGAAATATCAATGGTGAGAGAGAATCATTGATTGACTGCTTCCTGCACGCCCCACACTGGGTGGGGATCGAGCCCACAACCCGAGCATGTACCCTGACCAGGAATCCAACCCTGACCTCCTGGTTCCTAGGTCCACGCTCAACCACTGAGCCACACCAGCCAGGCTCAGTTTGCACTTTTTAATGACCTTGCTTCTAAAAATCTTCAGTGGGTTCCCATTGCCCACAACTAAAGTATAAAATCCTCAGCCAGGCACTCAGGACCCTCCACAATCTGACTCCTCACCTCTCTCCATCTCTTTGTCCCAGTTCACCTTGTGCCCTCCCTGTCACTTTTCTGCCTCAATATCAGTGTTGATTCCAGACTGGAATGCCTACTGAAATTCTATATATTTGTGAAGGCCTAGCCCAATGCCAATTTTCTACCTCTTTGAATGTGTTCACTGATCACCTTTTAGCATTTTCATAAAGATTTGTTTACCTTCTACCATTTGCACTGTTGTCACTCCAGGTGATGGAAGGTGGGAGATAAGGCCACAGGCTTTGAGTAAGATGTAAATACAGTCCGCCCTTGGTATCCAGCGTTCTGTATCCTTGGATTCAACCAAGCACAGATAAAAAATACTTTTTAAAAATGTTATGTTGTGCCCTAACTGGTTTGGCTCAGTGGATAGAGCGTCAGCCTGCGGACTGGAGGGTCCCAGGTTCGATTCCAGTCAAGGGCATGTACCTTGGTTGCGGGCACATCCCCAGTAGGAGGTGTGCAGGAGGCAGCTGATCGATGTTTCTCTCTCATCGATGTTTCTAACTCTCTATCCCTCTCCCTTCCTCTCTGTAAAAAGTCAATAAAATATATATTTTTTAAAAATGTTATGTTGTTGCTGACTTGTACCATGTAGTTAAGCCTATCGTGGTTGTGTCTGTATTAAACAAGACAGTATAACAATTATTTACATACCACTTACATTGTTTTAGATATTATAAGTAATCTAAAGGTGATTTAAAGTGTATGGGAAGATGTGTGTAGGTGATATACAGAAACTATGACATTGTACATAAAGAACTTGAGCTTCCATGGATTTTAATATCCACAGGGGTTCTGGAACCAATCCTCTTAGGATATCAAGGGATGACTTATTCCAGGTCTTAACTTACCAGCGTAGGGACGTTGGGTAAGTTGTTTAGCATCTCTAAACCTCAGGGTGCTTTGTTTGTTGGTTTGTTTGTTTGTTTGTTTAATGGAAATAATGATCATAATGATGATGATGGTGACAGTAGTGGTACCCATCTTATTGAGTTATCCTGAATATTTAATTAAGATAATGGATGTGAAGTGCTTGGCATGGTGTTAGCATTCCATCTATATTGAATTAAAAGGAACTTGGGGTTTCTATCCTATCCTAGGGAGTGGGGAAAGTTGATCAGTCAAGTTCCCCTTACCTCTGATATTCTATGACTCTCTAATCATGTAAAAATGCTTTTCAGAAAATAATATCTGAGGGAAACTACCCGAATCTTTTCAATCTGGGAGAATATGCATCTGTGAAGGGTGGTGTGGGGGTGGGGAAAGTATGTGTGTGGAAGTAAGAACATTCAAAATCACATCATAGATCTCAAAAAAAAAAAACACCCAAACAAACCACACCTTGAAACATTGACCCTAAACTGAGTCATTGTTATACTTACTTTTGAAATTTAAACACATTATATTAATTGGTTTTCTAGGGACCACCTATGTGTCAGGAATTTAGTGATTAGGAATGCCCCCATGGTTTGGGGAAACTGCAGGCACTGGGGTTGCAATCAAGGGACTCGGCCTCAAGTGAAGTTACCATGTGTCTTTGCCAATAATTAACTGGGTGCACTTGGGCAATTCGTTTTACATTTTTATGCCTCATTTATCATCTGTCTAAGGCTAATAATAGTATCTGAGCTGCCTAACTCAGAATTGTGAAGATAAAATGAGAACGGAATCTAGAAAATCCTTGAGCAAGTTAAAGGAACTATAATCATCTGAGGTTAAACACACTGCTAATGTTTATTTTATTATTATTATTTTTTAAAACATATTTTATTGATTTTAGAGAGAAACATCAATGATGAGAGAAAATCATTGATTGGCTGCCTCCTGCACGCCCCCTACTGGGGTTCGAACCCGCAGCTCAGGCATGTGCCCTTGGCCAGAACCCAACCTGGGACCCTTCAGTCCACAGGCTGACGCTCTATCCAGTGAGCCAAACCAGCTAGGGCATCACACTGCTAATGTTTAGAAGATGGGTTTAGATTAGTGACTCTCAACTCTGCCTTCACATTGGTCTTATCTGGGTCTTTTTAAAGCTTTGAATGCCCAGACTCCATTTCCAGAGATTCAGATTTAGTTAGCCTGGGGTAGAGCCAAGACATGAGAGTTAAAAAACAAACAAACACACTCAACAAA